CTACGTTCGTGGCTTGTATGTTTAGTCTATTTGGGTATAAGGTTGCTTTTTCTTAGCATTACAGTAGAGCTCATGTAGTCAGATGAACACCTTTCTGACTCAGCATCGGCCCCGTCTGAATCCATGGGGTGTAACCTTTAACTTTTCCGAGAGTCCTCTCTTTTGTGCCTTTTCTATTTCCACTACTGTGTGTTTTTCTATTTCAGAGTCTCCTTATGCTCATGGACAGCCCACTGAATCGGGCTGGTCTCCTGCAGGTTTATATCCATACCCAGAAGAATGTTCTAATTGAAGTCAATCCCCAAACCAGAATCCCAAGAACTTTTGATCGATTCTGTGGTCTTATGGGTAAGTGATTCTAACCTTATACTGGCCACAAAATAATACAGGAAGGTGGTTAGGAGTGGAAGAACTTTGGGAAGAGTCGAAAAGTTGCATCAACCTTAAAAATGTGAAAATGAGAAAAGTGCGGAGAGATTACAGTGTCTTTTTGTGAGTTTCAGGATGCATAGTACAACTACGTGTCCCTTAGCACAGTGGGGAGTGCCTGCGTGAGACTGTGCTAGCAGCAAAATAATTTGCTGATCGGGATATTTTAGGACTGCTTTAGACAATGCTGGGAACTCTAAAGATGGACTTTTTGTCTGCTTCAGCTCTGATCACTAGGTAGAGGATAGGATCCCTCCAGCAAAAGAACAGACAGCTTAAGTAATTTTCTTCTCTTGTCAGTTCAGTTGCTGCATAAGCTCAGCGTTCGAGCAGCTGATGGGCCTCAGAAATTGCTGAAGGTAAACATTGACTGCTAACAGGTAATGTTGCAGCATTCCTCCTTTGCAGCCAGCAGTGTAGGAGTGGGGTTTTTTTTGGGGGTTGTGTGTTTTGGTTTTTGGTTTTTTTTTTGTACAAACAATGGACTTAGCGTGGCAGGGTATCTTACCTCTACACCCCCTATTAACTTTCTGCTTTCTGTAGGTGATTAAAAATCCAGTCAGTGATCATCTGCCTGTGGGCTGTATGAAGATAGGTACCTCTTTTGCAGTTCCAAAGGTGTCAGATCTGCGTGAACTAGTTCCTGCAGCGGAGCCAGTTGCCATTGTTGTGGGAGCTTTTGCCCACGGTTCGGTAAGTGCATGAATTCCTTATTTGGAGTTGTAAAAATCTTTATCAGCATAGATTTCAGTCTTCTGCGTATGTGGGTTTTTTTTTTCTCTGCTCTTTGGCTTGGTCCCCCTTGTCCTGCCCCCCCTTTCTTCCTCCCAGGTAGGCTTGTCAAGTAAAGGCCCGGAGCTGTAACGCTTGGGACTTTGCTCCCTCCCAAGAGACGGCACTAGTGAGGGTTAGCAGTTTGCCTGCTGGAGAAATACTGTGCCTCTCCAATCAGTGGAGATAGATGGGACTAAGTGAAAACTTCCAGCCTGATTTTTCTCTCTTCCTCTAGGTCAATGTTGACTACACAGAAAAGATGGTTTCCATCAGCAACTATCCCCTCTCTGCTGCCCTGACATGTGCTAAAATTACTACTGCCTTTGAGGAAGTCTGGGGAGTAGTATGATGTGCTGCTGCTACTGCTGTCATGGTGGACTTCTATACAGTGACTCCACATTCTGGAAAGGCTCTTTTACTTAGGTGTGGACCTGGTGCAACTTTGGGCTCCTGGAAGGGAAAGGGCTTCAATTTTGTCCTGGCAGCTTCTGGAGCAATGAGACTTTAAATGGACTGCCCCTGCCCCACTGACCCTTTTTCCACCCCTATTAAAGGTCACTTTTGATAAGGAGTGCTTGTGTATTTTACTTTTTCACGTTTCACACATGGGCAGGCTTGATCCCTTTATAGCAGGGACTCAGCCCAAATTTGTCATGGAACTGAAATTCTTAGCTGTGCCCTGCTTGCCCTGCAGCTGATGTCACTCAGTCCTGTAGAAGCACCTTGCTCAGTGGTATGTGACAGTTCGCACTCCTGCACCGAGGCACCCAAGAGGAAAGGAGCTGAAGCCGATATGAAAAAGACCAGGAGCAATTTTTATCTTGGATGACAAACGTAGAAAAGTCAGAAGGTGGCTCCAATCCAATACAGTGCCTGCCTTGAGTGTTTTACAATCATCTGGTATCAGCAGAGACGCGTGTCCCCTGGAGGGCGGCAGAGAGATAAGGCAACATACAGAAGGTGGAGGATCTGGAAGGAGGCTTTCCCCGTTCCCCTCCTTTTGGGTCTTTGACCCTGTGCTTTCTCTTTCCCCCTCCTCGCGTTGAGAAAAGTCATACTTCAACACAGCAAACTTGGCAGGTGATGCTTTGCTTCTGGAGTGTTAAATCAACTCCTACAAATGCACAGGTGGTACAATCTGAAAAAGAGAAAAGTGCTAGATTTGTTTTGGTTGATTTTATGTTTGCCTTTCACCTTGGCATGTAATATTGCTGCCCTACTTCACCTCCTAGTCCAAGTGTGCGATTCTCTCCACCTCATACAGCCTTACCTTTTGGCTGTTATTCTGCTTTTTTTAGCTTTTCTTTTCGTGGCACAAGTAATCTGCGAATGTAAGGCAAGACCAATAATAAAGTGAAGAACAACACGTGGCCGAAGAAATAAATAGACTTGTACACCTGTAAAGAGAAAAGCAGGGTTAAGCATCAGCAAGCAGCTTTGAGCCAAGAACATGCGAGATGGGATGGAGGGAAAAGAGTGGGTTGTACGGGTTGTCTCTTTGTGGCTACTAGATACCTTCATCCATTTGTCCCAGGTGAAAAGGCAAAATGGCACCAGAGAGTAACCCATAAACATCCAGTGGTTAGCCTGCTGCAGCACATAGAAGATGGGCTGCAAGGCAGTGATGGAGGCCAAAGTGTTTAGGGGAGGACTGTCCCGAACAAGGTTTATGACCTAATTTAAAGAAAAAAAACAGAATTCTTGTCAGCTGGATGTCCTGTGGCTATATATGCAGGCTTTGGGGCCAAAATTATCTATCCAGCTGTGTAAAATGATTTTTAGTAAGCAGTTAGACTAAAAAAGTAGCTATGTACCCCATCCTGCTCAAAGTTTTAATTAAAAAAATCCCAACAGTTTAAATATGGAATATTGTTCTCTCAGTACTGGGAGATTTAGCAGAGGCATTCAGCTCATGTGCTTGTCCTCCAACGTTTCCAGCTGCCAAGCACTTCAGTTGCCCTCTACTCATATGCTAAGTTTTCCACTCTTCTTCCTGTCAGCTTCTGCAATACATTTATGGCTTGCGCATGCAGAAGCCAGCAACCTACTGAACTCTTGAGAACAGAACTGTATCATGTTTGAAAACCAATTCCAAAGTAAGCGGCTATTTTTCATATTTAATCCCAAGTAAAGCCTTCAGTGTAGCAGATTCCAGACCGACAGGGAAAGGCTAACGCAGGCCACCCCATTCTGGTAAGTGAGACAAAGCGCACCTGTCTTTCAACGATGACTATAAGCAACTCCATTTGAAAGCACACCAGGTAGCCAGAGTGCAGCCCGTGCCAAATGGCCAGGAAGAACAGGGCCACTGCCTGTGACAGCAGTTTGTTACCCAGGAACTTCAGACGCTTGAAGATGTAGCTAGAGCAGAAAAGAAACAAAGTGCTTCTAGTTTATTGTCTGTCCTCCCCTCTCCATGTCAAGAAATGCAGGGCCCAGGGGACTGTATGCCTTTGCACACCCTGTGGTGACAGAAACAGCAAGACAGCTCCCCTTAACAGGGCAAAATGTACCTCAGCCCTTGTCTTAAAGAAATCCCAGCTAATGGGGAGAAGTGGTTCAACAACGCACACAGAAATGCTATTTTACAATTCAGTTGTGTGTCTCAGCAAGTGCCAAACCAAAACCCGGTTGAGTGATTGCAGAGGGAGCACCAAGAGGCATGATGTAGGAATCAGCTGTTAGAGCAGTTCTGTCGCTGTTTGACCAGGCAGGCCGAAGGGCTCACTGTAGTCCCGTTCTAGCCTCTGCCCTCCTACTGCCATCAACTGCTTGCCTATATTAATGAACTGCCCTTTTAGATTGAATGAAAGATCTGTCTAACCCAGTAACCTGTTTCAAATGGCACAGCAGCAAAATGTGGAAGAAAGACTGTAAGAACCGAAAACTGACAGATTCTTCCTCTAATGTTCCCTCTCAGCCTAGGATCTGGCTCTGTTGACACAGATGTTACTGACACATTATAGAAGGGGAATTTTGTCCTGCTCACCGGGCCACCCAAGCATTGGTGTTGATGTTGAAAGAAGCAATGGTCCCTGTGAACAAAGGTGTTGTCTCATACAGCCAGACCTTCATGTTGGCACAGGCATCCCACAAAGGCTTTCCATTCTGGTCCTTCCCATTGTATCCCAGACCAACAAGGATGCAGACACCTTCCTACGGAAAAAGATTCAAAAGAAAGATGAGAGGAAAACATTGCCCCCTGTTTTTTTTTTGGAAAGGCAGAGCTGGGGAATCTCTGACTCTCACTGTGTTGAGTGGAGAGCACCACTGCAGATGGACCAAATGAATTAAAAACTACCTGCTTTTTAGTTATCTAGCCTTTGCTCACTTAAAGCAAGCTAAACTGACCTGCACTGATCTCCAGATATTTGGATTACTTCCATTTCACGCTAAGCCCAAGAGCATACTAAGTAGCTGTAAAGGTGCAACCTTTGTTCATTTGTCTTTTGTTTCTGGAACGACATCTAGACTCACCGTAACAAGCCAGCAAGTTACGTATTTGTAGAGTATAATTTTGCCCCAGATCAGTATGTAACCACAACGGAACCAGAAAGGCTTCTCCTGCAGAGATAAGAGTGAAACAGAATAGAAATAAAAACTGGAGTTGAGTGGCAATAATGAGACAAGGTAGATGAGATCTCATCACTGTCTTTCATTTTAATCTGATGTATGTGTTGAGACTGCTATATGGACTGGACTGCCAGGGTATTGGCTTATGCAAATTTAGACATCATTCTCCTTCCTTTGGTAATATTTGGCTGTACTGAAATAGGTACTTTGGGAAGCTCTGGGATTAGCATAGTGATTGCAGAATTTACACCCTCATTTATTCACACTGACACAGAAACATGGATAATCTGCAGTTCGCAATTACTTGTTAAGAGTTTTCTAAGAACCTCAAAGATTCTGGTAAGCCTTGTAAGTTACTCTAGTTAAGTTCTTTGCATGTAATGGTTAAATGGAAGGTCGTTAAAAGGTCACAAAGTACATATGTTAGGTTTCCAAAAACAACAGTAGCATCTAAGATTAATTCTCTATTTGTAAAAGTTTTCATTTGGTTCAGTTCATCTTAACACATTCCTGTTCTGCAACAAGTGGAATCCACAGGACAGGCAGTAATGCCAAATCAGTTGTGGAAAGGCTTATCACTAGTTGCTGACTTATCTTATTTTTAAATTCAGGCAAAACTGAAAAAAAAATCCTCTCTTGTAGATCCAGTGCCTACCAAAGAAGTGGAATTCTTCCATACCCCAGAACTGCCGAATGAATACATACCATATAATCATCTGAGATGAGGTATTCATCAGAGACGTACAGGCTCGACAAGGTATATGTTACTAGAAACAAGAGACCCAAACTCAGGCGCTTGAGAGCAGGCACAAAACTGAGAAAGAAAAATATGAAGGTCAAAGAAAAGCCTTGGAAAGAGACCGTCAAACTCATAATTTTAAAAACAGAAGGGGAGAAGAGGAGGTAGGGGAGACAGCGCTAGGGAGTCACCACATTCCGCTGCAGCAGATGCCTCTGTTTGGAAGCTGGGATGCTAACATTACCAGGCTGGGACCACATCTGTACTAAAGATGTCAAATGTTTTTTGACGTTCATGCCCTGGAACAACGCTAGGACATTGAGCGGAGAGTTATGAGCAACTTTTGAAAGACCGCCATGTCTTATAAATAATTTTTGGTCACAGTACTTTAGCGTCCAGGTAAGAAAGCACTCTGCTGCAGGGAACGTGGAGGATTCAGCATTCTGGGATATTAGGAAGGTGAGGAGCTAAATGGCTTTTTATTACCTATTGGGTCTCTGGCCTTGAACGTCAGTCATCTCACCCCTTGCCAGTTTCTGATAGTCTGTCATGGAGAACTGAGGCCCCACCATGAAGGCACCATAGAAATAGGAGAATCCTGAGACTTCCAGCAAGGTAGGAACTCCCCACACAGCAAATCGCCGCTGCTCAGGGGTCAGGAACTCCTGCACCAAAGGGAGTGGCATTAACATCATCCTAGGGGATCTCATACTACCTCTGGATGCTATGTTCTCAGCCTGCCTCCTTAATGGTCTCAGTTCTTGCTCTTGATGTATATGGAACTTTCCACTTTGTACTTCACGTCCATTCCTCTCCCCACACCCTCTATATAGCAACAAGTTCCAATGGTTGAGACCAGTTGCACAGATCTCTATTCCCAAATAAGCTCAAAACATGGAAGGGATCTATTGACACGCATCCCTGCCGACACAGTAAAAGCACTGTATCTGACCTTTTCCAGTCCCTGACTGCAATCGCATGTACTCTCCCAAGACCTTATCATCCTACAATTCCTACTTCTTGATGCAAGAATTCATTGCCTTTAAATACTTGAAACTTCAGCTTAGGAAATTTCAGCTCAACCTTGTTTTCTTGCAGTCAGCAGTGATTCCATGGATGCTAAAGACTTGGTCAGGCCCCAAACAGGAGACAGGGAATGCAGATACTTGAGGTAGGATTATGAGACTGTAGCAAGCGTTCTGCCCTCTCCCACACATTGTGCTGTGCAACTTCTCTCACTGTTTCATCTGCTTTAAAAACAGGGCCCTAACAAATGGTAATGGGCAGCGATTCACAAGGATATGGTAAGACTAAACAAAGGAAAGGAAGATGGGAACTGAGATCCAGTGCTGATGGTCTGCAAGTTAAAGGTACACCACCCACAAGACACAAAGCATTGAGGATCAGGAATCTAAAGCAACAGATTTGGGGGAAGGAGATGGCAGGGAATTTGGAAGGGGGCAGAATAATATTCTGACATGAGCAAAACAACTTTTGTCCATCTCTAATCACTACTGTCTCTGTTCCAAATCATTTATTTCCACTCCAGAATTCAGTGCCCTCAGACACTCGCAGAGGCTCCCCTCTCAGCCATGGCTTTTACCAATGAATGCAGCTTGCTAACTTGCATCCTTTGAACTTGATTTTCTGACCTCTAGCTCACTGGAATGGCATGGAAGAGGGGAGGAGGAACGAAGGAGAAATGGTGTCTTACTCACCGGATCTTTTCCTCCATCATAGTAATTGATGGCCAGACCTAGAGGTGAGAAACAATTATTTGAAGCCCTGGGATGGGCTGGTTGGGCTGAACAGGCAGTCCTCTCTTCTCTGAGGCACAGCTTGCAGAGTGCAAGAGAGAGGAGGGAGGTGTCACTCACCAATCAACTTGAGTGTCAAGACACAATGTGGCATTGTCCACTTGATATCATAATGCTCTGTGGCTGTGAAGTAATATCCAGCCATAAGGTATGTCTGAAAGAAACCATTGTTTGGGTTATTCAAACTAATTCCTCCAGCTGGTTTTGATCTGTCTCCACTTTTCCACCCACAGTTGCTACTGGGAAGTGCAAAACTGAACAGAGGGCTCCTTTCTACAAACCGATTCAGTAAGAAAGAGAGTTTTACCATCTGAAAGAAGAACGTGGTGAAGACGGCAGTGACTGTGCGACCCATTAGTCTCAGTATGAGGAACTGGATTAGGACACACAGCAGGGAATGAAAGAACTGCATCCCTGTGGGACGGGAAAGAGAGAGAGAGGTGAAGTAGAAATGACATTTTCCTACTACAGGTCCTCTCAAACTGTAGCACACCCTGGGCCAGGCAGCGCTCTCGTCCCAAACTCATCTTACCAAAATTGAAGTAAGCAATGGAGAGTCCTGTGAACACATTGTAGAGGTGAATGAGGTAGGTCTCCTTCTGGAAGAGGAAATAGCGCTGGAACAAGGCAAAAGGGTATCCTGAATAGAGGAGAAAAAAACCAGATGAGAGAGTTGTAAATTAGTGTAGACAAGGGTTTGCAAGGGCCCAGATTACAGCTTTCTTGAACGTGTTATTAGGAACATGTACTTTACATAGATATGGTGTACATTCTGATATTGTATTTCCATCTCAGGAGACAGAGGCCAGAAGAATTACTCCGTATATTATACAGATGAAAATACTTCAATAGGAACATAATTATATCAAAGTTGACATTGAAATGCAAGAAATTCCAGGATTACAGTTTCTGGCCTCATTCAATACATGAGATGGATAATGCTGAAATACATGAACCAGACTTTAGCCTCTGATTAATTTCCAAATTCTGTGACAAATCCAGCAAACGTGGCAAGAAGCTAGACACAAAAAAAAAAAAAAAAAGGAAAAAAGGTGACGGTGGGAATTTTATGGTTAATACCATTACATTGTCCTAAAAAATACAATGCCCGCTCCCACCTCAATGAGTTCTTACATGACGCTGACCAGCTTTAATCCCAGAGATCCTCACGACCTCCAGTAGTATACTCTTTCTTTTCTAACTCTCCAACTTCAGATTTGCATCCGATCTGTGAACTACTGGGCACACAAAGCTGCAATTAAGATCCAGTGGGACTACACATGTAGTACTTTTGAAAAAAAAAAAAAAAGTAAGTCAGAAGCATTTCATATGGAGCAGCTAAGATAAGTGGAAGGAGGTTTTTTCCTTGCATTTTCTGCATGCTAGCTCCTAGCCTAACTTAGGAATGGCTCCAGATTATTCATCCGTGGCTCTAGTGAGAAGCAAACATTTGTGAAGCACTCTGGTAGTACGGTGAGAAGTGCCATACAGAAACCCATGAGTAATTAAATTCTGTCGTCTAGGTGAGGTTCACATAGCATGCAATAAACACTGCCATATATTACACAATAAATATATTATGTTTTAACACATATTGACACGGGAAGCATTGTCCACCTCATGAGTATGTGAAATCTGTTCATATAATTAGCGTTTCTAAAGGCATGTGCACAATGAGCTGAATTGGTATAGCAGAAGAAACTTTAATTCTGGCATTTCGTAACTTACTGCTTTACTTTGCAAGCCTGTGTTCTTTTATCCTGATTAAAACCAAAACAAAAAAATCCCTTCAACCAAAAGAAAAGGAAATTAATCACATACCACAATACTGGCATCCACACTACTTATTAGCCTAGCTGAAATCTGTAGCAGTGGTTAGATCTCTGCTATTTGCACTAATGGAGTACTAGTAGCAGGAGGTAGTTATGTTTTATATGGAGCGTAATAAAAGGTGATGAAATCCACATTTTGCCAAGAAGTGTTTGATGGATGGAAGGTGTCCAATAAGCAAGGCCAAATCTAGTCACTACAGTCAGAGGAAATGAGAAACTCTGTCACGTTATGTAAAATACATGCCTTGCAGTCTATCACCGCTAACAGGCTGAGGTGTGACCGGAGCCATTTTAACGTCCTCTCCACCCTCCCAAATCCCTTGGGAGGGAGTCCCAGAGTTTAGGACTTTTGGGGTCCCTTCCAGATCCGGGACAGCAGCAGGCTCTATCGAGCCCAGACGTGTACCTGTGCTTCTTGAAACTGAGCTGCCCCTGCTCCCCATTTCCTCAGCCTCTCGCCACCCCTCTTTCGGTCTTCCCTGCCTCCTCGTTCCTGTTCCTTCCTCCTTTTGTGTCCCACACCGGTTTCCAGACCACAGGCTGCTTTCTCGGTCTGAGCGGCCGGCCAGCCCCGCATACCACGGCCCTTCGCCCGCAGAGCCTGGCAACCTTGCTCCGGCTCATCCAGCTTGCTCTGCCCTTCCACAACCGCGCCTCCAAATTCCCCTACAAAATACCTTACCCAAGCCGTCCTTTTCCCTTCCTGCTCCCCCATGCTTTTTACACAGCCTTCTTTTCGTTAGCCGGCATGCACTTCTGTCCCATTTCCCCCACTGCTTCCCTGAACACCAGCTGAGGAGGAATGAGGGAATTGGCAAAGAGAGTTCATCACACGGCCTCTCTGGGGATGAAGGAGTAACTCAAAGAATTAGAATAATTCACATTATTTAAAAGAAAAAAAAAAAAGTAGTATAGTCTACCAGCCTTCTACTCACAAACATACAGACGAGGATTCTTTTTTCACATG